CAATATTATGATGAATAACATTGCGGAATCACTAAATTCAGTTCTAAGGCGACAACGAAGTTTCCCTATAACCTCTTTGGTCGAAAATATTACGTCATTGATGCAACGATGGTTCTACGAGAGAAGAAGCGCATCCACCAAATGTAGTACGATCGTGACACCAAAAATTGATGATAAATTGAGAAAATCGTTAGACACTAGTGCAACCTTACAAGTACGAAATTTGGACGAACTCGTTTTTGAGGTAGATGTAGCTACCGAACTCTGTACTGTCGACCTTATAGGTAACACATGTTCTTGTCGAAAGTTTCAGATGCGACAAGTTCCTGTTCACATGCATCCCGAGCTGCGTGCACAAAAGGAAAATCACTGTATAATATGTGCTTCCCTCACTACACCAAGAATGTTGGCGAGCTACGTAAAGCGAAGTTCTTCACCCCGTTGGTCGAGAGTCAGATTGAGTTGTTCCTCAATCCATTCGTTCCGTCGAAGTTTTGCCCTCAAAGATACGTAGAGCACCAAGTCGACATCCTACCCAACGTCAACGGTCGAGAATTGAAAGTTTGAGTTTGACACGAAAATGTGGCCGATGTGGGGATTCTGGACATAACAGACAAACAAGTAGGAATTCGACACCTTTAAGTGAAATGTACAATCGAATGAATTGTATATTCCGATCGTTAAATGCTCTGATAAAATGGATTACCAATGTTTTGAATATACTTTTGTGCATTACTTATTTTCTATCTTAGTTGATGAAGACATGTTTTGAATATATTTTTTACTTTTACTTCTTTCTGTTTCTTTTTTCGTTCTCTCTTCATAGCATTTATTTGCAATTGCTTATTCTAAATTTAGGCTCGTAATATATTCTCAATCCTCTATACAAATTCATCCTATTTTTGGTGATTTTTATCTTATATTACCCTTGTCATTCAAAATTTTATAGCGCACGAATAGAAAAATTTGTATGGGCATTTCACCAAGTACAAACAAGAAAACCCAGGTAATGTAAATAGCTAAAAACAAGGAAAATGGTGATCACATATGGAACAAAGGAGCATTTCATTACCATACCTTTTCGTCCATCATATAAGTGAACAATCTTATATCTAATTCGTCATTGAGATCTTCTTAATCATTGTAAACAAAATGTGATAATAGATACAAAAGTAAGCCATGAATGGCTCGTTCTCCTAAGTCACTGGAGCAAACGAAATGGTAATCACAACAAAAGGAAGTCATAACTCTAATGCATGTCGTAGACGACTATTATACAAAATGGTAATCACCCCAAAAAATATCCATTACCTATATAGATTTTACAGCATTAGTATATGTACTTAAATATTTCACTTACCAAGATCGCATCTTCTACATATCTTCCACCACCGACAAAGAGAACATATCACTATCATACTCCTCGTCGGAGCTTATGATGATCACATCTTCATTTTCGACGAGAACAGCTCTGACATTGTCATCCAACAATACATGATGTGTTTTCGATTAGATCTCATGATGAACTTGAATTGACTCAATTTCGTCTATTAGATTCAAAAAAGGAATGGGTTCAAGGCAAACCCTACTATGATTTTTTGAAGGTTGACGAACATATGGAACGAAAGCATTGCTTTCGTCATCCGAGTCCGAATTTATGATGATCGGGTTGTCTACGGACAAGCCGGGGAGGTCGAAGGTGATAGTAACATCGATATAAGGAGTACGCTCAGTTGATGAAGACATAATTGATGGAAGAACTAGGTAGTGCTATGAATTTTTTGAAATAGCCGTGTGTGCATATTGAAGCAAAGTTGTGTCTTTTATAGTGGAGGTTGACTTGTCTGTTGAATGCATAAGAAGATGTCTCACCAACCCATTTGTTTATTTCAACCATGTTATTATGTGTTTATTGTTATTTCACATCATTTTGGTTGAGAATGTACTTGTGCTTGGCACACCAAAATTAATTAATATCTACACAGATTGTAGGTGCCAAATTCTAAAACTAGCCATTCAGTGAAAAAAATTTCATATCCAGACATCCAAGATATTTACAGCCCATACAAATATAATAAAATAAATTAATGGTTATTGAAAACAAGAGATTCAGAAAACATACCACCACTATGTCCAATCTTCAATCCATACTCAAAACCATAAGACCAACACCGAAAAATGTTTCCTCGCGAACAACCATGAATAATTTCCTCATTTTCAACACAAGATACATGAGTATAGTCAGGGGCAGTGCTAAGATTCTTAAATTTTTGGGGCAAATTTAGTGATAATTAAAGCTGTAAAAAAGTTATTGACACTGCCATGCTCATTAAAAAAGGTACACTAAAACAACAATAATTATCATATCAAACAACATTGTATAGTTTATCATAAACTTCATCACAAGTTTACAAAAAAAAAAAAGAAAAAGATCTTTATAACAGAAAGTAGATACTATTACGATAACATTTAGGCCTTCATAGCTCACTTGCTTCAGCAATTGAGTACCAAAAAACAAATCATTAAGAGTTCAGGGAACAAGAAGCTAATACAAAGCAATGATTAAAAGTAGCAAACATTTTTCAACTGATTATATAACAAAATAGACCCAACTTTTCAAATCAATTAATAGCATATTCAAAGAAAAAATTCTTTGTAAAATATGTTTACTGGCAATTAAAGCTCAAAAATATATTTATGAAAAATCAAGTAATTAATAGAGGCTTTCAGCAATATGAGATGAAGTGAGTTTACATATGCAATTTATTATTTCCAAAGTGACTTTTCAATGGAGATCATGAGTAAAAGGTTAACATAAGCAATAAGTTTTCTACTATTATGAAAAATGTGTTGAATCTTGAACCAACGATCGAACAACGATCGAACAAGAGTGACTCACATCAATGACCGCCGATAATGCACATTGAATACTCAAATGTAATAAAGTTGAAGTTTCAAGACATGAAAAGAAAAAATAAATTGAGAATGGTACCTTCTACACAGATTGTAGATGCCAAATTCTCGACATCTAATGCTTTATTATTAGAACCAAAATAAAATATATCATCGCTAATGAAAATAGAAGTATGGAACAATCAACATAATTGAACTGATTTTGTAACATTATTCTATATGCAAGGTTGACATGAAACTAAGCATGTTCAATGTTCCTAAATAAAAAAGTAGAAAATTCTTGTTATTATGATAAAGAAGGGTGGAATTAGACCAGTTACAAAGGCTTCTTGTTAGAGACAGCTAATCTTATCTTTAATTTCAATTGAACTTACGAAAAATGCGTACCACAAAATATAGATCCAGTCAACAAGAAAGCTGAAAGTTAACCCAACAATAAAATATAATTCATCCTCTGAAAAGGAAGGAGAAGGTCAGGTGGGTTGCTACCAAGATATGAGGAGTATAACACCAAAAAAATGGTCATTCTACTTTGAAAGCAACAATTTTATCATTTTTTATTTTTTCTTCCTCCTTCATCTTGTCCATTATTATAAGTAAAGTTTAGCAACTCCATGCACTTGGGCAAAATGTCCCAAACTATCACACACTCGATTGAAAAAACTATGGAGGACTTTCCTTTAATAATCCGAATAATAGTACTTCAACAAAACGACACATCCATATGAAAATGCAAGCCTAAACAAGGCAGAACAAACTCTTTGAAGTGAAGTTCAAATAATTCAAGAATATACACACAATCTTGTACATTTCATTAAGTTAATTGCCTAATTTAGCTATGCAAATAAACCCAAAATGCAATATTCTTTAACAAAATAAATAACAACAACAACAGAGCCTTGTTTTAAATAAATTTAGAGCCAGCTACAACAGACCATACACAGAATCTGATTGACAGCATTGTTGCTCGGTTATGCCTCAATGAAATGTGTACATGTCATAAGATTTGAAAAAGTTTTTCATTTGCTATCAACCTATCACAGTCTTCCTCCATAAGGAACCATCGATATAAAAATGCAACCCTCAAGAAGACGTAGAACAAATTTGATGCGATTATGAAGCCATTTAGCCACCTTGTTGCTGATGAGCATTCAAACAGTTCAAGAGTGTATAATAGCAAAACAACCCGTGTCATTTCATCTTGTTTATTGCCTAACTTAGATGCGAAATATGCCTCAAATGGAGTGTTCTTCAGTTTCTACTAGTATTATTTATCATCTAGCAGCATCAAATTTAGTTGAAATATAGATTATAGCTCAAATCAAAAGATATAATAACACGGAAAGCAGAAAGTACAATCATTTTCCTGATTTCTTTAAACACGTTGCGATAAATATAAGACTTTACCTCTTCAACCTTTTCTTGAGTAGCTCACATGTACAACTTTTTATCTCAAATTGTATCAATAGTTAGTATTTGCTCGTCCAATAGAATCGAGACACTCAGTGATCTTGACATCAATTTATGTAATAATACAAGTCTTGGGGTTTAGGAAGAGGGGAGACTTGGGGAAGTGAAAAAATAAGGAAATAAACTTACTCTATATCACTGGACTCTGGACTGTGGTCAGCAACTGAGAAACGAAAAGAGAAACGGACAGGCTCATTGTCGACGGGTTGGGTTGAAGTGAAGAATTCTGTGAAGATTTGTGAGAGACTGAGTGTGAGAGTTGAGACGACTTAGTTTAGGGCGTCTTTTATTTTTTCATTTTCCCCCTTTTGTTTTTAAGTATTCGGGTCGAGTTCTATCAGGTTTCCATTTTGATCCATAACCCGACTCAACTCGACCCGCACCTATCCGACCTAGGCATTTAATGTTGATTAACATTTTTATGTTGATTGAAATTTGTAATGATATGGAAAAATTTGAATTCTAGTGTGGAAATAGAATTTGCTAATAGGGATATTTTCGTCTAGACATTGACAAAATTATAGACATTTTTGTAAATGACTAAGTAAAAATGAACATTTCGTTAAATTTGCTCTTTCAGTAATTAACATCTCAAAGAATGATCACTTTTTAAAAAATTCCAAAAAAAAACTCATCTTTGACCGCAACTTCACAATCTCATCTTGTGATATCTTCCTTGGATCATCAAACTTTCCGGTCCCCTGCAAATTCCACCAAGATTCTCCATTTTCCCTCCCATTTCATTCTACATACATACATCCATATAATTACATATATATAATCGCACAGTTCAAAAAACCCTGAAAAAATGGGCGTGGATTATTACAATATTCTTAAAGTTAACCGAAATGCGAGTGACGAGGACTTGAAGAAAGCCTATCGCCGTTTGGCCATGATTTGGCACCCAGACAAAAATGCCAACAAGCTAGAAGCCGAGGCCAAATTCAAGCAAATTTCCGAAGCCTATGACGTCTTGAGCGACCCAGAAAAGCGCCGGATCTACGATCTGTATGGAGAGGAGGGCCTCAAGTCCGGCCAAACTCCACCGCCCAAACGAAGCTCCCGACATTATGGGGCTAATCAGCATCGTCCTGACCCGAATTTCCGATTCAATCCCAGGACCCCTGATGATATTTTTGCGGAAATTTTTGGCGAAAGCAGTAATGGTGGTTATAATAGAGGTAATGGGAATAATGTTGGCGGAAGTGGGGTAAAGAGAGATGGGTATTTTAGGAGTACAACCATGAATGGTGGGACGAGGTATGGAGGTGGGGAAAACTCAGGTGATGGTGCGGGGGGATTGAGAAAGGCGCCACCGGTGGAGAATGGGTTGATGTGTAGCTTTGAGGAGCTGTACATGGGTGCTACCAGGAAGATGAAGATATCAAGAAATGTTCTTGATGTCCATGGGTACGTTTCATTGTATCTGTTTTCGTGTATTTGTTTATAGAATAACGACTGATTGATTGAATATTTGAATTTTTAACAAGGAAAATGATTGGAATTTTGTTCTTGAAATGCTGCGTTTGATGTATTGTGGTCGTATGTCATTGAATTCTTGCATAGTTATATTTGTAATTAGTTGTTGTACTCAAGAATGAAGTGGGGTTTTGGGATTGAGTCACATTACTTGGGAATAGAAGTAAATGTCTCCGCACTGCAAGTTAACCGAGCCAGGAAGCGGTCTAGCTCCTTGTGCCTTGAGCAATGGCTGAACTCATGACACAATTAGGCCTTTTATACCTATCTGCGATGGAGCTAACATCAAGCTATGACTAGTCAATATACGACTTCATACTGTTTCCTTGCTGATCTCTTTCTTTATCTTATCATCTGGGACTAGTAAAAGATGCGTAAGTGCTTAAGAACTGTCCTCTTTATGATCTCCTAGTGCTCAAGAATTTGCTTCTTTCTTTTCTTTTTCCTTCCTTTTGTGAAGATTTTGAGCTTGGGAAAGGGCATTAATCTTGTAATTTGGGTTACTCACGAGTACATATTCTGCTCGACACTTCACTTTCTGGCATCTAGTTAGCCCTAAAAATTGATCTTTGGATAGATTTTCTGCTCATGGCTAAAATTGGCTTGCTAGCGCTCATGGGATTCTCACATTCCCTGTCAAATTCTTAGTTGGACAGAAAATCTATTCAATGAGGGATAGTACAAACATAGATGATATATTACAGTCTCTCTTTTCACGGCTAAGGATGTTTATCTGCACTTTCATGTCTCTCGCTGTGGTCACAACTGGGTGTTTGTCAACAGCAAAGCTTACACTTATTTGCATTAGTTCATCCGATGTTCCTTAACCTTATGCCTGCTTATGAAAATGAGTCACGTGAATACAGATGACGAAAGCAAGTGAGAGAAGTAAAGGAGTTGATTCCATCTGGGAGATTGCGTCCTAGGCCACCCCCATAGGAAGTTTTATTTTGGAAAACCAATTGATCACTACCAACGAGACTGTTCTTGATCTGACAAATGTTATAGAATGATAGGATCACTGCATTTGATGCCCATGGAGAAGGATGCAATGAAGTGTACGCTCCTTCAATGATACTAAGAAAAAGAAACTTACTAGGATTCCTCCCCTAACGGTGAGTGAACGAGGAATTGCTCAACTTAGAGACTTGCGTTCAATTGTTCAAGACTCAGCTGCCACAATTGGTTGCTTGGACCAACTCCAATTAGCTCGTCCACCACTGTTGATAAAAAAATGATACTTACTTCAATGCTGGCACCTCTTTGTAGGTCATTGAGGAGGCCTAAGTGACCATGAAGATAGCAACAAAGATTATTTCCAATGTCACTGGCAATTATGCCAAAAACCACATGCTCATGCCTGCAGGCAAGCTCTGCAAAGATGGTATGAACTCAAAAATGGCCAAACTCCTCTAGATGACCAGAGGCATAGATGGCGACATGGTCGAGCTCATGTCGTTGGAGATGGTGGAGCTTATACCTCAAGGAGTAGCTGAGCTTGTGCCTCATGACATGTTCAAGCTCATACCTCATGAGATGGCCAAGCTTGAAAGAGATTGCTCATAAACGTGTTGAATCCTAAATTTCTTGCTCACCTTTCTCTCCAGAGATCAAGCACTGATATGAATGATTCTGTAATGCTTCTGGACTATTTTGTAGCACCCCTGAACTCTCCTATTTTGACCCTTACACCTGTGTTAGCAATTGCAAGCGAATCATAGTCAATAACTTAACAGGTACTATTAATTTTTATTTTTGTTCCTTTTTTTTTCAAACTTTATATAACTTCAAATTTTAGAAGCTAGCCCACAAACCTTTTATCTTCTGCTGCTAAAAAAGTTTATTTCCTGCTATATATGGTAGAGAAATCACCCAGATTTTCTTAGCTATCCTTCATCAAGGTTCTTTCTACCTATCGCTTCCAGTATTACAGGATTACGAAGTGCCAAATCTGTGACTTACAGTATACATATTTACTATATTGGTTGGCTCTCTGAAAGCATTAATTTTGTGAACGTGCATGCAGGTGGTTGTGCCATCATGGTCATTTGTTGACACTGTTCTTTCCAGTTTCTCTTTTACTCTTTATTTTCCTGATGCTACAATGTGTTGAAATTCTTATAATTTTTGAGCATTTAGTTGATCGTTTCTGGAATACTATGATTTTCCCTAAAGATACGATGTATCCTTTGAATTTGGATACTTATGCAGTTGTCATTGTGGTCTGCATATAGCGATGATGACCATTGCTTAGGTAAAATGGGGTTACTAAAAATGACATGTTCCAAGATAATGTGATGGGCTGTTCTGTTGCAAATTTTGTATTGCTTAAGCTGACGAAGAGCTGAATTATTAAATTCCATTAAGATTGGGTTTTCCAACTGCTTCTAGGAATTTTTATATGACTTAAGCAACACACTAAGCCCCTATTTGAGCCCCATTTTTGGCCAAAATGCATTTGGAAATAGTGTTTTGTTGGATAATGTGTGGTTAAAAAATAAGGAAAAGTTTTGAGTTTGCGTGTATTCTTATTTTATGGAAAAATGTGTGATTGAAAATGAGTTTTGAAAAAATGGGTGCCAAACATAGGCTAAAAGTTTTTTTGATTCACCTGGTTATGACCCCAAATCCGTAAATGTGGGACATTTTCTCTTCCAAGTGAAACCCCTGGATGGTGCCACAATATGTTCGACAAACAACATTGTCTTGAATTGAGATATGCACTTGAAATGGATGTCCGAGTAGCAGAGGCTTTGTCCTCTTCAGGGGCAACATTAGTTTAATTTGAAATCATGATGATTGTAATCCAGTGATCCACACCTACATTGTGAAGCTCTTTCTATTCGACCATATTTCGATTGTTAATACGATATATAAGGACCGCTACTACAAAGAGTATTACACCCTTGATCGTGAAATATCGATTGCTTGTTGACCCCTGTGAATTGCGTGAAAGTAGGATACATTGTGAAGCTCTTTCTATGTGTTTTGTTGATCAAATTTTATACGAACTTTTATGATAATAATGTATATATTTAATCAATTTAATCCAATATTAAGATATAATTGGAATTGTGCTTATGTATTAATCAAATGTTAAGATAAAATTGGAGCTGTGCTTGTGTATTGTCATATAAATTCCCATGTTCGGTATTACAGTTGAAAATTTTGATTCATATGTTTCTTTTCATAGTTCTTTTGAGTGAATGTTTGATGTACTTCGACTTTGGCTTGGTATGAACTTTATCTTGCAGTAAACCTCAAGTGTTCGAGGAGATCTTATCTATTGATATAAAACAAGGCTGGAAGAAGGGCACAAAAATAACTTTCCCCGAGAAGGGCAATGAAGAGCCTGGCATCATCCCAGCAGATCTTATTTTTGTGATAGATGAAAAACCTCATCCTATTTATACAAGGGACGGTAACGATTTGATTGTGAAGCACGAGATAACACTTCTTGAATCCCTCACGGGGAAGACTATTGAGCTGACAACACTAGATGACAGGAGTATCACAATCCCTATAACAGAGATCGTCAGACCAGGACACGAGCTAGTTGTTCCTAATGAAGGAATGCCAATTTCGAAGGATCCTAGGAAGAAGGGAAATCTAAGGATCCAAATTGATGTGAGGTACCCAAAAAAACTCACCGAAGTGCAGAAACATGAATTGAGGAGAGTTTTGGGAGGAAGCTCGTGATATCGCCTCACAGGCACTAGGCGTGAGAATATTGGTGCAGGCATTTAAGTCAACAGTTGGGTGTAAATACGGTACATGTATTCAATTGAAGAATGTGAATAATGGAAGAGTGCTGATATTAGCTGGATGGTTGACTCTTGTTTTGGCAGCTCGGGCGACTCTGTAGACAAATGTGAAATGCCTCTTGCTAAAAGTAGGTGGATATTTCGATTCTTGGACTGATACGAGTTTCTCAGGACTACGTACATCATTCATATTGGTATGAACCTGTTTCTTGTTATTGCTAGAAATTGTTCTCATTTACAAGGTATACTTGAAAAGTAGTTTTAATTTATTTTTACTGTGGATGAGATGGATTTTGAGACTTCTTTCGTCTTGGAGTAATCTCGAATGCACTTTCTTTTCATTTGTTAGGAGTTGGGTTGGGTAGAAGAGAAATTCAGAAAAGAATGTAGAGACAGTAGAAAGTGCAAGAAATTTAATTTAGTCCCTACAACGATTATTTGAGAGCTCTTTTTTCTACAGACTCATTTTCAACTAAACATTCACACAATAAAATATTTTGCACGTAAACCTAAAATTTTTCCCTACTTTTCAACCATGCATTCTCCTAAGAATCACTATTCAAAATTATAAGTAGCTTTTTCTTTTTCTTTGTTACAAAACCCTAGTGGCAGGTTTGGTCGGCGGGGTCGATTGGAAGTGACTAAACATAACTGCACAACAAATGAACTTTGTTACGTGCATCTCTTCTTTAATTTCGTCCGTGTTTTATTACTATTGGCTTCAGTGTACCAAACATGCTCTTAAACAACCACAATAAATGGCTGCAAGTTCTTTATGCACATATCAAACATACTGCTTGGAACTTCCGAGATTGACCTAAAACAATTTCTGGAGTAGAGAAGAAAAGGGTTGAAAACAGGTGAACTAACCTTAAAAAATTTAGTATGACCTAGTGTTAGGTTTGTTTGGTAGTGTTTGGCAAAGCTGGATTTAAGTAGTGAAAAATTCATAAAATGTTTCAAACAAATTTATACACATATACGCGTTTTTATATATACGCAACATTATATTGTGGTGTCAACAGTCGATTGTTGGTAATCGATGCTAAACATCTATCTCAATCATGATAAGTGTTGCAGTGAACCATCAACAATTAGTTGCCATGGGCCACCGAAGATAAGAGAGTAGCAATAGTAGTGGAAAATAATAGGCGATCGTTCACATATTACATCACAATGAAGGACAAATATTTGTTCATTTATTAGAAGTACAATCTCTATGATAATTAATGTTTGATGCTGTATTACCTTGTACAATATTTGTAGTTTATATCTAATAAACGTGTCGTTGAAGAAGTTACTTTCGAAATGAAAAATGAATTTATTTGGCAGACGTAGTGATAATACAAACATTGTACATGTGCAAGCGTGAGGTGTTACGGCCGAGTACGGTTTCACTCGTTTTGGGAATGGGATTGGGACATTTTCATGTGAAACCAATTTATTTATTTATTCCTGTGTGGCAAATCAATCGACCAAAAACATTAGCCCATCCACTAGGTGCATGTGCCGCATGATGTGCCACCTTTGTTGTGTCATTGTCGGTCCACGTGTCAAACGAGTCGAGCTAATTTGGACAACCCATTTTTCTAAAAAAATTCCCTTCTTGGGCCTATGTTTGGTATGGTCGTATGGATTAAAATTAGATTTTTAGAAGATTTTGATAAAAGTTTTGAGATGTGTAATTGAAAAGTTGTGAAACTTACAAAATATGTGTTTAAAATTGATTGTTTAACTTTAACTTAAATTAAAATTTGATTTAAATCAGTACCAAACACCATGTGAGTCTAAAAATTACGAGGCTTGACGTGGCAGCAGCCACTTGTGTCATTTTAAATGTGCTCTATATGCATCGCCTAAGTTTAGATTGAGCCGTACATGTTTTTAAAATTTCTTAGAAAATAAAAGAAATTAAAAGTTGCTCACAAACATTTAGGGCCGAGTCTAGTAAGAGTGGCTCGAGCAGTCTAGACTGAGCCTAGTAGGGTGGCTCCCGATTTAAGATCTGGTTAGTCTCATCATGCAATTACTATAATCCATTACGATGTTAGAACCTAATAGTTTTTAAACGAATTAGTATATATCCATATTTTAGTTGTTTTTGCTACATCTACAAGTTTGTCTTTTAGTAACATTTTATTTGACAAATATTCGCATAAATATGGTATAAAACCATTATTGTACTTAAAAATAGCTTTTTGCATAATATAATGTGGGATAATTGTAACAAAAGTCCCAAACCTTTTAAATATTTGCAAACTTTTTTCTAACATTTTAATTGTTGCAGTCGTTTCCCGTAATCTTTCAAACCTTAGCACCAAAGGCCTCAATGGATGAATAACATTCAGTTCACCGTTAGTTGATCAAAAAATTGAGTTTGATCACATTTTAAATATTTTTATAAAAAGTAGAATGGTAACTTCCTACTTATCAAAATAAACAACTAATATATTTAAATTAAAATAAAAAGTATCTTCTTCCTCACACTCCCAATCCTAAAAAATCAACCATCGTCGCCGGCCATCGGCCACTAACTGACACCCATCCCACAAAATCAAATTTGTAGGTGTTAATCACATTATCCAATGTTTTTGTCCATAAAATCCATCGACAACTGGCACCCACCCTTGCCTCCTGAACCAGTGCACAAATAAACCCCCTTTTAGTCAATGCATACATACATTGATTCCACATCTATCATTACTGTAGAAATTAAACCCTACTTTCTTCTCATAGTTGATCTCGTCCTGTAATAGCTATATTGCAAGTATTCCGAACCAAAAAAATAAATAAAAAATCATAGCTATATTCAACAAAATTTGTTCAAGAGTAGCAAACCGCTACTTATTTGTCGAAAATTCTGTGCGGTGGCCATATTTAGTCGTTTGTATGTATGATAGCCGTGGTTGAGTCGAATTTTTGCATAATATCTTACTTGGAAAATGTCTGATTTAGCTCCTCAATCAGTCCCAAGTCTTGACAAAGCCCGAGATTTTGACAATTGGGACTGATGTGTAACCCTTTTACCCCCATCCAACTTTGTTTTGCTTGAGAGAGCATTTGGGGCATGGGAGATCACTTTAATGAATCCGATTTGGATTCAGTCAGCCATATTAAATGACTTTACCTTGGAACCTAAAATTGTAAGTGTTTTGCGCGGATAGTCGCTAACAATCTAAAAGGGATCAGACGATTGTGTAAGGGACAAACCTCTTGAGACAAAGTCTCAAAAATGGGTGTTTTATTGGCAATGATTTTACAATTGGAATTTAAACAGAAATGTCTCAAAGGGGCACAAACACACGAGTACTGAAAAGAAATGTTTTAAGTCTAAACTAAAAAATTGAAATTACATATTCTCTGTTTGAGAGTGTTTGATTCGGGGTCTTTTGCTCTATGTCTTTTCTTCCCTTTATATTCTTTTGATACTCTCTTTGTGATCAACCGCTTAGAAACCGCTTAATTGCTTTATAACTGTCCACTTTCTTCATGGTGGCTAACTTATCGTGGAACTGCCGTCTCTAACTGCTGTCATTAGTCTTTGTCATTCAATCGTCCTCAACTGAACATCCTTTAATCGTGGAACGTAATAAGATTACCTGATAACTGTTTCGATAATTGCACTTTTGGATAACCATAACATTTCACGTTTGCTAAAATCTTGAACGATTCAAAAGTTTGGGTGAGAACAGGGTAATAACTCTGGGCGACTGCAAGGCACTTCATTCGCTCAGATCCTGTGCGTCTTGTAAGTTTGGGCGATGGTGTTACCGCGTTCGTGGGCTTCCACTGCATTCATTAATAACCCTATTTGGGCCTTTATCCTGAATTGCCCAGTTGGACTTTATTCTTTAGGCTATTTGAATTGGGCTGCACTTTTAGCATGTCAACAGTAAGAGTTCATCAACACCACTTGCATCTTGTTCGTCACACGCCCTAGTTCGATGAACTAGAAGTGGCAAATTTTTTTTTATTCAGATTATACATTTGCATGATTTTCTTTGATATATGTTTCTCTCTGCACACAAACTAAGGGAAAAGTGGATTATTTGACTCTGGTTTTGAGGATGGGTGGTGGAAGAATTGGGTGGAGATTGTAGTGCGACAGTGATCGTTGGTCGAAGGCGTGCCAGTTTTATGATTTTCGGTTTTGGGGTGGGGGTGCGGATGGTGGGATACATATTTCTTATTATTATTATTATTGGTTTTAATTTTAATTATTTATTTTTGGTAAGTAGAAAGTTACTGCTTTACCCTCTATAAATATATTTAAAATGTGGTAAAACTCAAATTATTTGGTCAACTAACAGTAAATTGGATGTTTTACATCCATTGGGGCCTTTGGTGCTACACTTTGAAAAGTTAGGGTTTTCTACTTCAATGATTAAAAGGTTAGGAAAAAGTCTTCAAATGTTTGAAAAAATTGAGACTTCTGCTACAATTATAAATAAAAATGTTTGACTCTGTCCCCACCTCCTACTCATTACATTATTCAAAGAATCTCTCAATGTTTGATAATTAGAAAGTTTGCTTGGCATTGAAAAGTTGTCAATGTACTTTTGCATCACAATTTAAAAAAGTGGATTTTTCATAGACGTCATTAAATTTGAAAATCCACCAAAATTTGTCACGTCTACTAATGATGCTAAAAAATGTTACTTTTTTAGAGTGAAAGATCCAAAACTACCCTTAGTGATATCTTTTTAGAAGAATTTAATACTCATTAATGCTTGATTTGAATGTCATTAATGTAATGAGGTGATGATTTAAATATTGGATATATGTATATTATATTAGGTAATATAAATTTTGTTAATAAAAAAAGATAAAAGATTTTGAAAAGTGAACATATAAACAAATTTCTTCTACCATTAACAAACTCTAACTTCTTAACCATCTTCTTCATTCCTTCACCAAGAAGTCATTACAATTGCATTTATCATCCATTTTGAGAGGTTAACATATTACAAATTGTTTATAGTTTTATTTTATAATTTGCTAATTTTGAAATACAACATGGTCATATTTATTCGAATTTTCAAAATTATTATTCATTGATTTGTTTGGTTTTTCAAATATTTTTAAATAAAGATAGCAATATACTTTACAAAATATAAATGATTCAATATTTAATGAAACATCGAGTTATTTATTTGGGAAGATGTTGCCATATTATAGTTGAGAATCGATTATCACTATTAATGTTTTGAATAATTTCTTCCAATCAAACCAAATACATGTTTTTAAGGATTGTCTCTTTAATGATTTACCGTGGAAATTATTTGGAAAAAACATTTTGACATTCGGTAGTAGAATATTAATAACTACACTAATGTGATGAAGAATTT